TCATCTTCATCTTCATCTTCATCTTCATCTTCATCTTCATCTTCATCGTCATCTGCATCTTCATCTTCATCTCTTCATCTTCGTCCGTTTTTTCAGCTTCGCCATTCTCTTCATGTTCCATTTGGTATATTTATCTTCTTCTTTTTGATCTTTTTCTGTATTTTTATATTTGGCTTTGGTATTTTTATTTCTGTTTTTATCCATATACATAGTATGTGTATACTTACCACAGCCGTTATCTCTGTCTTTGTCTTTATCCTTGATTTTGCCTTAGTTCCTCTCCGCTCCCAGTGAAGTCCAATGCCGACTTTTGGTCTACAATTGCTTTCGATTTTACTTTATAATTCATTTCCATTATTAAATAATTTGAATTTAACCTTTTAAAAAGGTGGGCACCATCTTCAAACACCAACAAAATATTTTAATTGCTCAAAATTCAAAAGATCTTAAAACTCTTTTTAAACCAACATTTTAATATTTTATGTACACAACTTCTGTAAAATTTAACTAAATTCGACTTTGAAAACAGGTGGCAACCCTCTTCATAAAATTTTCACACTATAATCTTTTAAAGCCTCTTTCGCGTGACATTGTAATACTTTTTGAACAGGTGGCAACCTCCCAGCTGTAGTTAAAAAATATTGCTTTTTCAAAACCATCTCGATTGATATCCATGGGTAGATAATATTTCCTTTAACTTCTTAAATTATTTGATTTTAATTTTCTAACAGCTGGCAACCCTTTCAAAAAACTAAAGCCATATTGCACGTTTGCAGGTCAAGCCCTTAAGTTTGGTGCCTCATTTTTGAAAACCGAATGAACGAAACAGATCTGATGACATAGTAAATATTTAACACAAACATCTCCAAACTTGTTTAAGAAATTTCACTTCAAAAAGAGAATGGTTTTGCGGTATTTCCGATTCTTTCATTCATAGAAGCCAATAAAATTTGCAGAACAAAAAAAGTTGAAACAAAGCCATTAAGTAATTTCTATATTGAAATGATTAACGTAAGCGAGTTTGTTTGATTAATTACATAAAATTGTATATAGATATATAAAAACTGAAACCACTGAGAGAATGCGGAGTCGGATATCGGAAGATAAAATTAAAGCTTAGAAACCTTAAACAGAAAAAAATGCCATCAAGCAAAAAAAAAAAACAAAACAAAGAAATATTGGACGAAAATAGGATAGTGAAAAAAAACTAACAGCATTCACTACTTTACCTGTTGTATATATGTACATACACACACTGGTGACCGAAATAATAGAAGTGCCTTATTTTGACCAGCCTTCTATAATTCTTATTTAATGTTTTTTTTTGTAATTTTTTTTTTTATAAAAGTCTAGATCATTCTATAAAAAACTAGATATCAATGCCCATTTCAAATTTGTAAGAATTTTTTTTTTTAATTCAACAAATTTTCCCCTAAATTTCAAAACTTTGCAAGGCTCGTGTTTCAAGTGACTACAAAATAGCGCTGATTTTTGATAACTTTTATAATAAAAAAATATTAAACAAGGCGCTCCTTTTATTTCTGCCACCAGTGTATGGCACATGTAATTGTTCAAACTACTATATGCATAGTTATAAATATGTAGGTAGTTATTTATATGTGAGAATTGGTGACAATCTATTCAGGCCACGGTGGGAGACCACTAAAAGACCACTTGAAAAATGAATTCGGTTAAAGAGTCAAATGATTTTATTATTATTTTTTTTTTTTTATCATAGCGCTTTATATTTGTTGTCGCGTTGTTGTGCGATATTATTGTTTGTTGTTTTTATTAGTTGATACCGCAAGGGCGTGTGCATGTGATTAACATAAGAATACATATCAGTTTTTTTTTTGGACGTATTCATACATAAACATTAAACATTAGCCAAAGGCGTTTTCAGCAACAGCAAAAATAAAAATGGGATATGAACAGAAAAAAATGGAAATGGCAATTTATCTTCGCTTTAAATTGTGTTTAATAAATAATGGAGAAAAGCAAAAAAAAAATTATATTCAGCTTTGCCGCAGGTGTCACCAACAACAGCCCTGAGGTGGAGTGCTGTTCATGCCGAGTAATCGATCTCCTTGTAAGCATGTGTGTTTGTAAGGACAACTAAAAATTGATGACTTAGCTAAATTTCAAACTTTTGCCAAAAAATTTTATTTTTTTGGCATTTATGAACATTCGTTTAAATAATAAATCTGCAGCTATAGCTAAAAATTATGGAATTTACATATCTTAATAGCTAAAGTGCTACTATTTTGACAAAAAATATAAAAAATTAAAATGTCCCTGCTTAAATTTGATGCAGCAAATTAGATTTCTATTACTATTCAGTACTGCCAAATTAAGCAAATCTAACAATGTTTGCATAGTATTCAGTCCTTTTTGAAAACTGTGGGGACAGACATTAGAAAATTAAAATTTGTTTGCAATTTTTTTAGAAAAAAAGTATGCTACATTTAACCAAATAAATGAAAAAAAAAACGCAAAAGAAGGGCGGCAAATTTTTTTTGCATCAACAACAACAATTCTTACCTGCTTCCAACATGCACTTTATTATACCGAAATTGTGTTCCTGAAAATTTTCCAAAAATTTCAGACTAAAAAGCTAGTAATTTCAGAAGAGTTGCTGAGTTGAGTAAAAAGAGTAGCGACAACATCGAAAAAATCATGTTTTTAAATGGAAGCATTACTTTGTTTTAAATGAAACCTCACTTAAATTTAATCAGAGACCATAACGATTATAAGAAATAAAATTAAATATTGCTCTATAATTATAACTGAACAAAGGAAAATTTTCGTCTTGAAATAAACGTCCCAAGAGACGAAAAAAAATAAAAGTGCCATGAAATTATTATGAAAAGACGTAAATAATTTCCATCTGAAAATAATCGTCACGCGAGACGAAAAAAGATATTTCTTGTAAACAATTATTATAGAAAGACGAAAAAAATGTCCCTTAAAATAAGGCGACGTTTTTG